TGTGGAGGCCGACATCAACGGCCTGCGCAGGGTGCTGGACGAGCTGACCCTCGCCAGAGCTGACCTGGAGATGCAGATCGAAGGCCTGAAGGAGGAACTGGCCTACCTGAAGAAGAACCACGAGGAGGTGAAACTCAGGAGAAGGCTGCCTGGGAGCTAGCAAGACTGGGGCTGCAGAATGTCCCCAGCTGTCGGGGCATATGCTAGGCCTAGTTAACAGCCTTGGTGGGTTCCTGGTTCTTGTCGGGCCCTGACCTTCAGAGGACCCTAGGGCTCTGGTGCCCTCCTCTGAAGATACTTCTTTTATCCCTCTAGGTTTGGCTCACTGTATGGTGGCAGTTAACTCACTAATGAGTGAATCAGTGTAACACACAATGCTAATTATTATGATTAATTATAATAGCGATAGTCATAACAGCAGGGCTCATTTGATCAGCACATTACAAATGAGTCACAGCAATTATTTTAGCTGATACCGACAATTGGGAGAAAGATACTCTTCTCCCTTTTTGCCAGTGAAGAAACTGAGGCTCAGAGAAGTTAAGGAATTTATTCCAAGGCTGCACAAGGACCTGGCCTCAGGTCTGTCTGACTCATAGCCACATCCAGTCTGATTCTACCTTTCTGCCACCTCTTCTGCCTGCCTTTTCCAGAGACCTCTGGGTTTTAAGTATCTCAAGATTTTAGCCCAAGGATGGAGATCTAATGCCCTGCTGAGGTCTTCTGTTTCCCTATCTTTGTGACTTCCCTCTTGGCTGGCTGCTGGGCCCTCCTGGGGAGGGGAAGGTGAATTCCCAAGTGCCAGTCTACCCAGAATGGGTTTTCCTTTAGCTTTGAGGCTGGCTGTGCAATTACTTCCCCCCTGGTGAGTAACATTTCCTAATGAGGCCTGACTCTGGTTGATGCCATATGACATAGGGTCACTTTTCCCATGCTTGTGTTGTAGGGTCAGTGATAGGGGAAAGGGCAGGTGGTCAGGGTGATGAGTGAGGTTGCCTTTGCCCTTCCTCCACCATAGTGGGGAGTTACTATCTCTCTCTGCCTCAGTGCACACTGGGGACATTCACAGAGTGTGTTGGAAGAGATCTTTGGTACCAATGACATCTGCCTCTGCCTTCAGAGTGAGGAATTGTTGTCCTGTCTGTCTGTCATGTGCACTTGTCTTTCTGAGGTCCCAGGGTCTCTACCCAGCATGGCCCCAAGAAAGCTCCTACTGTCCTCTCTGCCCAGGAAATGAATGCCCTTCGAGGCCAGGTGGGTGGAGATGTCAGCGTGGAGATGGATGCAGCCCCTGGGGTGGATCTGAGCCGCATCTTGAATGAGATGCGTGACCAGTATGAGAAGATGGCAGAGAAGAACCGCAAGGATGCCGAGGACTGGTTCTTCAGCAAGGTGGGTGGCCGTGTGGGAGCAGGTGTGCTTACGTGTGGCCACATGCACTACGGCTTGCTGGCGCGGGCTGGAACACTCACTCATACCCAGTCTCTCCCAGCTGGAAGGACCTTTGGAAACCACTTGCTTTAATGTCAAATGAGAGGCCCAGACAGGTCTCAGGCTCATGCAGCCCTCTACTGTGGCCTGGGAATTAGGTCCAGGTCTCCACAACCCAGTCCAGGGCTCCTCCCACCACAGGTGTTTGCAGGACACCTGTGTAATTCATGCACTGGGTAAATGCATAGTGAGCATCTGTAGGGTCCCAGGGACAGTGACAGGCCCACAAAGAATAGCTGGGAGACAGCCTTTGAGGTGATGGAGGTCAGTGTCTGTGGGGGTAACAAGTGCAAAGGACTAGAGAGCATGGTGAGTTCCACTAAGTTCCATGTGGACACCAAGGGGTGCTGGGTGCCCATGCCTTTGGGCTCCATAGAAACTGGAGCCATCCTGGGGGTGCCATTCTGGGAGGGAAGGGCTTAGGGACAGCTCCTCCCTCTGCTCCCCTCTGACAGCCTGCTTAAACCCCTGTGTCCCACCCTGCCTTCCAGACAGAGGAGCTGAACCGTGAGGTGGCCACCAACACTGAGGCCCTGCAGAGCAGCAGGACAGAGATCACGGAGCTCCGCCGTTCTGTGCAGAACCTGGAGATCGAGCTGCAGTCCCAGCTCAGCATGGTAGGGCCTCTGTCCCCTCCTGCTTTGTATCTGTCACCTGGCTTTGTCTTATGGACCCTTAAATCTATTTGTTGGCTCACAGAAAGCATCACTGGAGAACAGCCTGGCTGAGACAGAGGCGCGCTATGGGGCCCAGCTGGCCCAGCTGCAGGGACTCATCAGCAGCATTGAGCAGCAGCTGTGTGAGCTGCGCTGTGACATGGAGCGGCAGAATCATGAATACCAGATCTTACTGGACGTGAAGACCAGGCTGGAGCAAGAGATTGCCACCTACCGCCGCCTGCTGGAGGGCGAGGATGCCCAGTGAGTTGGCGGGGAGGGGACACAGACATCTGCTGGGGTGGGCTGGAGGCTGCTTTGTTCAGGAGTAGTGTTTTGACACCAGCATAACTAGGAGGTGTGAATGGGAAGGTATGCAGGGATGAAAGAACAAAGTGGGATCTGACTGTGAGGAGCCAGCCAAAAGCACCTAGATTAGATTGTGGAGGTAATGGGGAGCCATGGAGGGATTTGGAGCAAAGGTATGGTTGTCTAGATGTTTTAGAGCATTCACTCTGGCTACAGAAAGAGAGATGTACCAGAGGAGTCAGGGTGGGCTGGAAGGACCTGTCAGGAGGCCGGGGAAGGGTCCTGCTGTATGGCAGGGGCCAGGGCATGCAAGCAGAAAAGAGGTTGTAGCTAAAAGCAGCAGGACCGGATGCTCAAGGGTGGGAGTGACTGTGACTTGCAGTCAGTGCTCAATAAATGTTGAGTGAACACATGGAGGAGTGGGTAACCATGACTTGGGTTTCTGGTTCAGATGACTGTGTGGCTGGTGATGCCACTAGCCAGGAGGATGTAAGAAGCAAGGCGGGTGGTGATCTGATCTGGTTTGGAGTTGGGAATGTTGATGGAGGTCCCAATGTGAAGGGCTTGAGGGTGTCCTGGGGTCTCCATGCTTAGTTACACATTCCAGCTTTTTTGTTCCCTGACATTGGTAAAGTCCATGTATAGTCTGACTATAGTTTCTTCTACTTTAATTGAGTCTTTTTTGGGCCCTTTGGGATATGAAAAAACTACTTCCTCAGCTTCTCCTTGTAAATCTTGGGTTAGTGGCCACAAAGTAGCCACAAAATGCCCTTGGGCTGTTCCTTTTCTTTCTTCTGCTGCACAGAGCCTGTGCTGTTTCATCCTTGGCCTGGCTGTTCTTCATGCACTCCTGGTTGTGATTTCTTATTTTTGTGAGGCCCTTTCTCTCCAACTGGGGTCTCCCCAGATGCTGCATCACCCAAGCAGACTCCCAGGGGCCCACTGTCCAGTTGGTCCCTTCTGGGTTGACAGGTCCTCTTTCTTCCTGCAGCCTGGCCACTCAGTACTCCTCATCCCTGGTCTTGCAGCCCACCCGGGAAGGTAAGAGCTGCTCTCTTCTGCTCATGTGAGGAACAGTTAGACCTAAAGGGAGGAGAGAGACTGAGGACCCTTCTGTGCGGTGGGTGATGTAGGGCCTCCTGCCTGAGACTCCTTGTGCCCTCTCCTCTACTGCCAGCAGCCATGGTGACTAGCCGCCAGGTGCGCACCATCGTGGAGGAAGTCCAGGACGGCAAGGTGGTCTCCTCCCGTGAGCAGCTCCACCGCTCGACCCACTGAGTCTCCTTTCTGCATGTGACAGCCTAGCTTCAAAGGCCAAGTGGCAGCCATTGCCTCTAGATCCCAGCACATACCCCTCCCTACACGCCCAAGTGCCCATCTGGGCTCTCCCCACAAGCTGCTGCCTTTCTGTATTTACTCCCTGCAGTCCCTGACTTAGGGCCTCCTGGGTTTACCCCAGTGACTGCTAATAAAGCTTTGCTGGAAGTTCAGTCATTCGACTTGTGATCTGTCTGTTTGTCACCTTGGGAAGTGTGGGCTGAGGGATTGGGGAGGAGGAGAGTTCACTAAGCATTTGGTATCGCTTGTTGCCTGCCCACCTGCTCTGCCCACTCCATCCAGGCCTGGGACTCCTGGGAAGGTGCACGGGAGGAGGTGGAAGAATTGAGGGTGGAGGCCTGGGATAGCCTGCCAGGCTAGGAACATTTCTAAGAATTAACCTCTGGGGTCTTGTCTCCTGAGGCTGGTTCCATGGGCCACGCCTGTTATATAGTGCTCCATGCATCAGAGCAGAGGGAAGAGGGGCCTAGCAGGGGGCTTTCCAAAGGAGTGGTCCAGAGAATTGATGGATGAGGGGGAGGAAACACAGCCAGCCCAGGAAGCCAGACCGGCTCTTCCCACCTCGTCTGGGGGTGTGTATGGGGCGGGGTGGCATTTGTCTGTGTGAGTGTGGGGGGCGTCCTGTTTGCTTTAGTGACTTGGCAGCTGCTGGGCTATTGGGGAATCTCTCTCACCTGCTGGCGGGGTCTGTCTGGGCCTGTCTGGAAGGTGGAACCCATTGGCAGCCTGCAACAAGACCACATTCCGCCCAGCAGGCCTCCTGGGACCCTGGGACCCAGGGCTGGGCTTGCAATGGTGGGCAGGGCAGGGTGGAGCCACGGGGTGGGGCACAGGGCCCACCCTGGGAAGTCACATCATGGGGACCTTGCAGGAAGGGTGCTGGGAGGAATACCCTTTAGTTTTCTAACTAACTGGGACTTGAGATATATGCCCCTCCCCTTACCCTGAGGTCTCTTGGGGGACAGAGGGGCAAGGAATATAGAAGAGACAAGCCCCTCACAGTCCTTCAGATCTTCCTCGTAACATGACATCTTTCCTACAACCCCCCTTTCCTCCTGGCCCTGGATGCCCCACTTGTAGGAAGGAGGTAGGGAAAGGTTTAGAAGAGGAGGCTGGGCTCCCAGGGGATCTAGTAATGGGGGCAGGGTCAGAAAACTGGCCAGATGGGGACTCTGTCCAGATGTGTTTTTGGATGCTTGGGCTCCACAGAAGGGGGGTTCTGTGGGGATGGGTGTTGTGCCTTGGCAAGGAAGAAGGATGCAGCCCTGCCAGCCCAGTTCTGCAGTGTGGTGGGGCTGTGTAGATACTGCATCCCTCACTAAGCCACGGTTCCTGTCTGAGGCCTGGTTACCGAGGTTTGAGGGAGTTTCTGTGTCTTATGGTGGGTCTGGCGAGTTTAGGTCCAGATTCTAAGGCAGGATGGGCACACAGTCCTTTCTCCCTCCCCAGCACTCAGCCTTTGGCCTGCCACGTATGTGGGGAAGGAAAGCAACCTCAGGCGGGGGCTGCCTGACTCCTTGCTCCATTTCCCCATCAGACCCAGAGTCCAGGTAGATGGATTGGGGTGGCAGCTTTCTGGGAGGGCTGGGTGACGTCGCTTACTCTTCTTCTCCGTATTAGGTCATGGGAAAGCATAGCTGGAGGGCCTGCCTGAATCACAGGTGACAGGCCCGAGACTAGAGACACACACATGTACATGCACACGACATCCAACACGGGGGTTCGGAGAAATGAAGCAGAGCCTGATGGTGGGAGTGGAGGGGGCCCGTAGCCACCTGGGAGCTGGCAGACGGCCAGGGGTGATGAAAGCCCAGGGGAATGGAAACAGAGCAGCGAGTCTGTTGTAATCGCTACGCCCACTTGCCGGCCTATAAAGGAAGCAGGCGAGTCTTGGCAGCAACACACACCTTGGCGCCTCTGTCTTCCTCTGGAGCCCTCTCACTCGGTGCCTGCCACTCGTTGCTACCATGACCACCACCATCCGCCAGTTCACCTCCTCCAGCTCCATCAAGGGCTCCTCTGGCCTGGGGGGTGGCTCGTCCCGCACCTCTTGCCGGCTGTCTGGTAGCCTGGGAGGAGGCTCCTGCAGGCTAGGGTCTGCCAGTGGCCTGGGAAGTGCCCTTGGGGGTAGCAGCTATTCTAGCTGCTACAGCTTTGGTTCTGGCAGTGGCTATGGAAGCAGCTTTGGGGGAGTTGATGGGCTGCTGGCTGGAGGTGAGAAGGCCACCATGCAGAACCTCAACGACCGCCTGGCCTCCTACCTGGACAAGGTACGCGCCCTGGAGGAGGCGAACACAGAGTTGGAGGTGAAGATCCGAGACTGGTACCAGAAGCAGGCCCCAGGGCCGGCCCGAGATTACAGCCACTACTACCAGGCCATCGAAGACCTGAAGAACAAGGTAGAGTCAGACCTGGGATGCTGGCAGGAGGGGATTGGTAGGGGCATGACTTCTCCTCCACCATCTCTTGCCTTTGATAAAGACCTGGAGTCCAGTGTAGGGGCTGCCACAGGGCTGCAGGGAGCCAAGGGCAGCTTGGTTCTGACTTGGCCTCCAGGACCTTGCCTTGGGGACCCCATGTGGCCCATATTATCATCTCATGGCCACGCAAATGTGGGAATAGGCTGAGCCAGGGACAAGCAGACCTCATGGGGCTGCTTGGAGCTTCTGTTTTCTCATCAGGAGCCTTCTGACCACCTCACGTGGCTGTCAGATAGGACAGGAGAGTACATGTGGAGGGCTGGGCCCACACAGCGAAACTGGCTATGTTGGTGTCTCCTTTGGAGTAGGGGAGTGCTGGAGGGGGTGTGGGGAGTTAATGGGGTAGGGGGTCTGAGTGAGCTCCTGATAGCATCTGCTAGAAGGTCAGACTCCTGAGGTCCCTGTCCCTCCTCTGCCACTCAAGATTGGGTCTCAACAATCCTTAGGAGTGGGGCTGCCTGGTAGAACCGAGGGCAAGGGCTTACAGGGTTGTGATTTCCAATGTGAAAACACTGCTGATGAGGGTTCCTCTCAGTCACCTTTTGGAGGAGGTTTTTGGGGGCACCATCTGGTGAACTGTAAACCAGGGGGTTCCTCATGCCCTCTCTCTGCTTTCTAGAATTCTGGGACAGTTTCTGCCCCAAGGACATTCTCCCATGGTCCTCCACCCTCCCAAGTTGAGCTTGGTATGGGGGGTCTATGTGGGGAGGCAGATGCTGGGGGGCAGGGGAGGCAAGTTTCAATCATCAGACTTCAGCTTGCCTGCCTAGGCCAGCAATGGCAGGCAGTGTAGGGGAGAAGCTGGGTGGGTAAAGGGGCTTCCCAGGCAGGAAAACCAGCTCAAAATCCGGGTCTCCGATGAGCCTTCCCACACCCAATGACCTGATTACTTGCCAATCTCCCCAGATCCTTGTGGCTACTGTGGACAACGCCAGCATCCTGCTGCAGATCGACAATGCCCGTCTGGCTGCTGATGACTTCCGCACCAAGTGAGTCCCAGCTCGTGGGTGACTTGGCAGACTGTGGGAGGATCTTGGGGCACCCCTCCTTATCCCAGGACTCCCTTGGTTGCATATTGGCAGGGCTAGGAGCTAAGAACCCATCCCTTAGTCCAGGATGAACATGTGTAATGGGTCAGCAGGTTCTGAAGTTCACTGGGCTTAGGCAGGTGGTAGAAGGGTCATAGAGCTGGGGTGGAGGGTAGGGGAGAGAGATTAAGAAATTGATGGGTCCTGCCTTGTGATGGCCCCATGGCCCAGGGCTCCAACTTGCTCTTACTTTGCCCTCTCATCTTCCCTCATAAGTACTTAGAGACCCTGGCAAAGTAAAGGCAGGCAAGGGGCTGGGACCTTGACCTTTAAAGAAGCCTGGACTGAAGTCTCTGGATCCCATTTCAGGTTTGAGACGGAGCAGGCGCTGCGTATGAGTGTGGAGGCCGACATCAATGGCCTGCGCAGGGTGCTGGACGAGCTGACCCTGGCCAGAGCTGACCTGGAGATGCAGATTGAGAATCTCAAGGAGGAGCTGGCCTACCTGAAGAAGAACCACGAGGAGGTGAGGTGGCAGGGCAGCAGGTCAAAGAGGATGAGGAGTGGGTGGCAGGGCCTGGGGGCCGGGCTTCGGTTGAGGTCGTGGGAGGGAGCAGAGAGGGCATTCTGGGGTTAGTCATGCTACTAAGCTGCCCTGTCTGCAGAGCCTTGTGGTCCAGAACTAGCATGCAGCAAAGTCTCTCTATGTACCACCTTGTTTCCCTGCATCCAGAGAACTTCCCAGGGCCTGCTGAGGCCTTGATACCTGTCTGAGTCTCTCTCACAATGACAGCAGATAATTGAGGTTGTTGAATGCTTGTTTCAGGTCTAACCCTCAAATATGGGATCTATATAGATGTTTGGAAACTGGAGGGGAAATTTTGGGGGCAAAGGCCTAAGAATTTGTTTTGTTTTTTTTGAACTCAAGGACTCACACTTGCTAAGCAGGCACTCTAACACTTGAGCCATTCCACCAGCTCCTAGATTTTGTTTCTTGGAGAGCCCTCAGTCTAATGAGGGAGGCTCAGTCTGATGGTGGTGACAGAAACTATACAGAGAGGGGAACAAAAATCCTTAGGAGGGTGAACAGAACAAAGGAGAGGTAGGTCCAGATATGGAACACATCTTTTTTCTCCCCAGGAGATGAGTTCCCTGCGAGGCCAGGTGGGCGGTGAGATCAACGTGGAGATGGACGCCGCCCCTGGTGTGGACTTGAGCCGCATCCTGTCTGAGATGCGAGACCAGTATGAGAAGATGGCAGAGAAGAACCGCAAGGATGCTGAGGACTGGTTCTTCAGCAAGGTGAGGGCTGCTGCAGGCAGTGAGCTGCATGGACCCCAGGGGTCAGGGTTGCCCATTGCATTAATAGATCTACAGCTTAGCTAGAGCTGGGATTTGGGGGATGGGTGAGGAGGGAGGTGAGGAGTCCCTGTGGAATAAAAACAGAAGGTTAAAGACCCTGGGTGTTTCTACCTCTCCCTAAGAACTCAGAAACTTGCATCAGGGGCCAGGCTACATGTCTGGGCTGGTTCTTGTTTCCTGTGCTATACCTCCCACTTGTAGGGATTAACCATAACCTTTCAAAGAGTGCTTTCCTGAGCTTGTGAAGTGGGAAGCCAGTGAGAAGGCAGGATTGGCTCAGGGGTGGTCAGGAAGGTGGCCATGACTAGGGAGTGTTCTGGGGAGTGAGAAGAGTCAAGGAACCTGTCTGGACCCTGGGCTGAGCATATGGAAGCATTGGGACATCTGACTCCCTGTCCTGTGTCCTGTTTGCAGACAGAGGAGTTGAATCGCGAGGTGGCCACCAACAGTGAGCTGGTGCAGAGTGGCAAGAGCGAGATCTCTGAGCTCCGACGCACCATGCAGGCCTTGGAGATTGAGCTGCAGTCCCAGCTCAGCATGGTAGGACCACTGCTGTGCACAGGGGTGGGCCCAACACCCAGGAGGGACACTATCACCCTCACTGACCACTCCTGACCTCCTGCAGAAAGCATCTCTGGAAGGCAGCCTGGCGGAGACAGAGAACCGCTACTGTGTGCAGCTGTCCCAGATCCAGGGGCTGATTGGCAGTGTGGAGGAGCAGCTGGCACAGCTGCGCTGTGAGATGGAGCAGCAGAACCAGGAGTACAAGATCCTGCTGGATGTGAAGACCCGGCTGGAGCAGGAGATCGCCACCTACCGCCGCCTGCTGGAGGGCGAGGATGCTCAGTGAGTGGGGGCTTGGGACCAGAGGTAGAGGTTTTTGGGGTTAGGAAGGGACTCTCAGATCAGACTTACATCTAATCTCCTCTCCATCTTTTTTTTTTTAGCCTGACTCAGTACAAGCCAAAAGAACGTAAGTATCTTGGTGACTGAGGACTTGGGACAAGAAAGCCATCAACTCTGTTGGTGGGACAGGGTCCCCAAGGGCTTCCAGGAAATGATGGCTGGTCCTGAGCAGGAGTAGGGGAACAGACCTGTTCGGGCTCAGTGGAAGGATCAAATAAGAGAGACTGATGTGATGGGGGGTGGGGCAGGGAACTGGTCCATTCCCTGAAGATCCAAGTCTGATGGGGGAGACCTGGTCCTAGTCTAGAGAGTCTCACCTGCTGGGGAGATACGGACAGGGGTTTCTGATGTTTGCTCCTGAGACCCTACCTATGAACAAAAGCATAGAGTCTCTGGGACTCTAACCTCTTTGGGAGATAGTGACATGGTCTTGTCCTCCAGATTCCTATATGATGGGAGAGATCTGATCTTGTTCCTGGGCTCCTAGTATAATGGGGGTGATGGGGACCTGGCTTTTGCCTAGGAGGTCCCAGTCTGATGGGGGAGATGGGAGCATGATCCAAGTGCTAGAGACCGCAGAAAGATGGAGAGAGCCTGTTTCGAGTAGCACCTGTTCTATATAGCCTCTCCCTTGCAGGACTAAGTGAATCAGAAGCAAATAACCCATCCAGGGAATCAAGACCCATACAGGGACACCAGAGGAGGGATGGGATGGAAGGGACCAGATGGCAAGGTCAGGAGAGATGTGTGTGGTGTGATGTGAGGGGCTAGCAGAAACATTACAGCAGCTGAGAGAGGACTGGGGGAGAGAGCTGTCTCCCACATAGGGGGCTGGGAGCTGAGCAAAGTTCTCTTGGTACCTGCCCACCTCCAAGTGTCTGTTTCTCCTGCAGCCGTGACCACCCGCCAAGTACGCACCATTGTGGAAGAGGTCCAAGATGGAAAGGTCATTTCTTCCCGCGAGCAGGTCCACCAGACCACCCGCTGAGGCCTGGGATTCTCCTGATCTGGCCCCCTAGGTGGCAGGGAGGTGGACACCCCTCTGCCCTGCAGCCTTCAGTCCCTCCAGCCTCCACCTCCTGCTTCAGTCTCTTCCTCTCACTCTCGTCTGATACCAATAAAGCTTTTGACTCAAATGTGAAATGTGTCCTTGTAACACTGAAATGGTGCTAGTGACAATGGGTGGGCATCGGTGAGGGGAAGTAGTAACCCACTATTACTGACATGGAGGCCAGGGGTCAGCTTAGACCAAGTGAAGAGTAAGTCTGGGGAGCTTGGGGGCTGCTTTGCATCTCCTCCAGACATCTCCTCCTGGTAACCCAGAGGGTGGTTCCAAGTAAGCCAGCCTTGGAGTGAAATCAGGATATAAGGGGTGGCCTTATGTGGCCTTCTCTTGTCCTATAAGTCACACTGTGATCTCTGGCAGTGTAAAGACCTCCCCTTGCTGAGCCTCACTTCTTATCCATAAATGGACCAGAAGAGCTCAGGTGCAGGAATCTGACTCATCTACTCTCTTGCTCCGCCCCTGAGAGGGCCAGGATGGGGAGAGGCGGGCAGGTTCCTGCAGGGGTTTCAGGAAACTCCAAGAGGGGCTCCTGGGTAGGGATCTTGGGGAGGGCCATGGTCTAGCAGGTGCGGGAAAGGATGGGGCCTCTCTCTTGGAGATGTTTTCTCAAATGGTCAGCTGGCTCAGGATGGAGCCAACAGGGAGCCCTATAGGGTAGACCTAGCAGGAAGCAGTCTCCCTCTCCCTGGGCTCCCCACCCTTGGGTAGGTGTGATGTGAAGGAGGAGGGAAACACATAATAGGAAAGTAGAGGAGGAGGCAGTCTTGCCCCAGCCACACCCAGGACCCTCTGAATGCTAGCCTGGTTCATTCTGGTGGCAGGTGAGGAGCAACTGCGGAGAACAGAGGTTCAGGGAGGAACCAAGCACTTAGAAGTCTTCCTTCTTAAATCCAGAAACCATTGGGCAGGGCGGCTGCCTTCCTGGTTTTTTTCAAGGAGTGGGGTTAATAGAAGGAGCTAAGGAGAGAAGGGTCCACCCACCTCAATTCAGTGCAGGGCCTGGTGGTCCCAGCTGTTTCAGAGTAAGATCAGGGCTCTGTGACACCCTCTCTCTGCTGGTGCCTGGAGGTGAAGGTGGAAACCTAAGAGGGGAGGGGACAGGAGAGACCAGAGTCCCCTGAGGCCTGGAGTGGTGGGGACTTGGGACCAAGGGAGACTGGGGATGAGAAAGTGGGGGCAATGTCAAAAGCTGGGCTGTGGGGATTTTGGTTGGGTCACAGGCCCTTTCTGGATCTTGGAAGGCACAGTATAAAATGAGGGATGAGAGGAACCGCTAATACCAGGATGTGAGCTTCTCCACAGGGTTGGCTGGAGCCTGGGGGCTTGCACTCAAGGCTGGGCAAGCTCTGCTCCATCAGCGCTGGCACCTCTCAGCTGCCTGGCAGCAAATATGGTTAAGCTAGGTCAGATGGAGGCAGGAGGGAGTCATGTTTCCCTATCACCTGCCACATACTGGCCACAACCAGAAGAACCAGCCCTGTATCCGGGATGGCTCATCCCGGAGAAGGGCGAGCTCATTTATCTGAACCATGGTCCTGGGAAGCAAGGACAGTCTGGGGAGAGGCGCCCCATTGTGTGGATGGGGACACTGAGGCTCTGAGGAATAGTGACTCAGCTCTTCTCCTGGAGCCTGGATGTCAAGGGTGGAGCAGGGCCAGGGAGGAGAATGGACCCCACTCTGTGCTGGGAAAAGGTGACCAGTTCCACAACCTGCCTGGTTAGTTCTAAGGCAGGAAGGGCTCTTGTACCCCTTCTGGGACTCTGGGGACACACTCTTACTGAAAGGGGCGTGAGGAGGGGTCAGGGTGCAGGGAGGCTTGGAGACAGTCCTGGACTGTGTCCCTCTGCTGGGGTTGAAGCCCCTCCTCACAAAGTGAGTGGGTGGGTAGCAGTGGTGGCTAAGATGGAAGAGCGCCCAGGGATGCCAGAGAGCACAGCCCATGAGATGGTGTGGGGGAACTTTGGTGGCTTTGTTCTGGCATCTCAAACAGGCCCAGGCTATTAAGGACATATATCTGAGCCTGGATTGGGGACCCAGGGTTGGGACTCCATGGAAGTCTTCATGCCCACTCTACCCACATCCCCAACCTCTGTCAGCCTGGCAGAAGCTGCCCTTGTAGCTGTCTCACCATCACTGTCTTATGACGGGCACATACCTGGTTCCCAGGCCAGACATATAACAGCTGTAGGCAGCCTTGGGACTCTTCCTCCACCATACTGACCTGGTAGCATTTCTGTAGGGAGACAGATGTGGTAGGAAATACTGCCCATGACATTGCATGGCTCTGTCACTGAGTCTAGAAAAAGGAAGTTATACACACCTTGGCTCTGAGACACAGTGCCAGCCCTAGTCTAGGGGTAGCAAGAGGGTACAGTGGTGGGCCTGAAAATACTCTCCCAGCCCTCACAGCAATGTGGGTCCCTTGGGAAGCCGAGGGGGACAGAGGGATCAGTGACAGGGTCATTCTGTCCCCAGGCATGGAATGAGGCTGTATCAGAGCTTGACAGAACCTCAGGCTGCCTTGAAGGCCCCTTGTTGACTAGTGTGAGGGACAGTGATAGCCCTGCCCTTAGAAGGGAGTACGATCATGTGGGAAAAGGAGGATTATTTGTGGGCTCCTGGTGCTCAGATTCCTCCTGACTCAGGTCCAGGCCAGGGATGGCCTGGATCTGGACATGGTTTATCCCTTGGAAACTTGCCCCCTTCACATTTCTGTACTCCATCAGGACCTGACTACATGGTACTGAGACTGTCTTTACCACCCTCTCTCCTCAGACTGTGCTCTTTGAGATCTTTTCTGTCTTGTTCTTTGAATCTGGATGCCTGGAATATGGTGTGTGCTTTATAGTCCTCTGTTGAATAAAAGCAATGATGGCCACCAGTCTGACAGGTGCTTTATTCATTTCCCTTCTATTTGTCTAACATGCCAGGTAATGTTGTTATTCCCATTTCCCAGAGATGAAAACTGAGGTGAGGCTTGGAGAGGCTGAACGGCTTGCTCAAAGCCTCTGCCTGATTGGATAAAGCTCCAGACTGCTCTGTCCTGGCTCAGCAGGGTTCTTTCTTCCTGCTGCCCTGCAGCTTATGTCTCTGGCCTGCCCAACAGGGGTTGGGGGCTCTGCAACATCCTTCTCTCCTTTTAGCTTCCTTGGGCTGCCTCCTGCCTCCCCAGCCTGGGAATCCCCTAGGGAGCTTGTAAAACAGCCCCGAGACCAGGCTTGTCTCAGGCAATGCTGATGTAGGGGTGAGGACAGGGCTGGGAGTCTGCACAGAGATTCTGATGATCCACCAGGTTTGGGAATCACTGTGAGTTGAGGCCTGTCTTTGGCCAATGATGTCTCCTGGACAGCTCAAGTGTGACATGACCTCATACTTGGGAAGGGGTGGGGCCAAGAAGGGAGGAAGGAGGGAGATTCATTGCCTGGAGGGATTGCAGCTCCCTACGCAGGAGTCTATGGTCTGTGTCCCCTTGGCTTATTGGTCCTGATCCTGACAACTTTGGGACAGATGTGCATCACTGGCTTGGAGAAAGTGGTCCCCCTTCCTCTGCCAACTTAGGTCTTCTGAATCCCAGCTGCAGTCTTCCCTGCCAGAACTGTTCAGAGGGTTAGGGTGAGGAAGGTAGCCCTCTCCTTTACAGCTGAGGCTCAGCGGGGTAATACATCTCCAGCAGCCTCCTGCAGAGGGGTGCGGTAGGAGGAAGCACCCCAGGGTTTTCTGCCACAAGTGCTGTCTTCCTGGCCATAGTTTTCTCTCCAGGGTCAAATAAGTTCCAAGGTTGGAGACCATGCCATTGTCTCTCTCCCCTCCTCTAGCTTCCAAGTGCTAGGTGCATAGTGTGTGCATGATCTAGGTAGCTGAATAGTTTGATGGGTTTGTGGGAAACTTCTCAGCCCACAAAGATGTCCAGACCTTCCCTGCTAGGCCTGTGTGTGATCACTCCAACTCCTGGAATGGAGGCGAGTGTGTGTGTGTATGTGTGTGTGTGTGTGTTTGTGTCCTGGGGGTAGAGGATGAAGAGTTTCCAGAGATGCCAGGGTGAGAGTTGAAATGAAGCTTGCCTTGGTAGTTGGAGCTGCGTTCGAATGTCTACTTGTCCATCTCCATGCTGTTTAACCTTGGGCAAGTAGAGTTTTTCACTATCTCTGGTTGGGGCTTGTTGGCCTTTGGTGACCTTGAAGGCCATTTCCATTCCTAAGGGTGATGAATCTGTGAGTGGACCTGAACTCCAGGCCCATCCTGCTACCAGGAGACCGGGCTTTTTGTTACAGATATTGTGGTTCCCGTTGCCCATATTAGGAGTCAAGGGTGGGGATTATCTAGGTTTCCTCTCCCAATTCCAGCCCTGAAAGTGCAGGCATCTGCTCTGTTCATACTGCTGGGTGAGTAGCTGACAGGCCTGAATGACATATGGAAGTACCAAAGCCCTGTTATGTTGAGAAAGAGTTTCAGCAGAGCTCAGGTATAGTCAAGGCTCTCTGGGTTCCTCTCACCTCAACAAAGGTGCCACAGGGCAAGGACAGAGGCCAATGCCATGGGTCACCCCACAGCACTCAAGCAGGCCTTTGTCTTTGTGACAGATCTCCATCCTTCTCTGTCTGTCATGCTGGGCTGGACTTTCAGGCCAAGGCCATGCCCACTGTGGGCAGAGTTTACACTGGCACTGTGGGGAGGTGGGTGAGAATCAGACATACCTGGCCCTTGCCTGCAAGTATCATGGGAGGTTGGAAGAGTCGTGGCTTGCAACTGAAAGTCGAGTGACTTTGCGTAAATCACCACCTCTCTCTGGTTCTCCTCCTTTGCAGACTTAATTCAAAGATCAAGCAAAGGATGCAAATATGAGAAGAAGGGTCTGGGGGAGTGGGCAGGCAGGGACTGGTATGTTGGGAAGCCCACTTGCCTATCTTGTCCTGTTCCCTCATCAGTGGACTAGTGGCAGGAATGACACCTACTTCATGCTCACCTCACAGGACTGTGCAGTAAGCACATATCAGACAGACACTCTGTGCAATGTCTGTTCCTGGCAGGGGACCAAAGAGCTTTAGTGCTTTCCTGGTCACTCCAAGT